TTGTTGTGTGTTTATATTGAGCTCACGGTTTTGTTTATCTTTTGCATTGGTTTTGCATAGGAGGGGTTCCAAATGGGACTGACTCTAGAGGGGACGGTGTTTTCCCTGGATCAGGTGGACAGCCGATGCTGATTTTGAAAGACATTTTTGTATATGCTGTGATTCTTGACCACAAAACCCTCAAAAAATGTCACATTAAATATTTGATTTTGAATTGAGTTTGAAAGAAATGTAGCAGGAGCCTTAAGAAGGTCTGTAGAGGTCATTTCTATTTTTATATGCTAAAATCAGCAGATTGTACATACATTTTATGATTTGTGTATTTTAACTTCTTAATCTTATAACAGAAATTGTTGAAGACATTTAAAGACATTTTCTAGAGTTTTGACCAAATTTAGACTGTTTAAATTCAAAGATGCATTCATTCATGGCCAAAAGTTGTGTTCAGAATCTTTTATACCAAATTATGAAAAAGGTAAGGTGGTTGCAGAGGCAGTTGCTCATGTTGTAATGGTGCAATCATAAACTTCAATGTTGTATCTAAAATATTTTATAGATTTATTAGCCTTGAAATAAAATCAAAAACTGGTGGGTCTTTCATGTTCAGCAAGATCATTGCTGAGGTTTATATTTCCAGATGTTCAGATCCTTTTTTACTTTCATTGATGGCTGTTTTAATATTTGTTAAATGCGTATCACTTGCTCTTTGATGGTGAATAAATGAAAACGGATAGCACACTGTATTAGCTTTGTGCTTTTTTAACAGCCACAAACTCTACTAACAGAAAACAGTTCTTGTTTTCAGACATTTATTCATGGTAAAAAATCAATAGAGGTCTGTTGAAAATGAATTCAAATGTTTTTTAATTTGGTATTCATTACAAAGAATTGACCCCCATAAGAGTACAAATGGGCATGTGCTGTAAAAAGCTGGATAAAAATGTTTCTTTGTCCTGTATTATGGGCTAATTAGCCTTTTAATGAGACCAGCATTGGTTTCTGTGTGAGTTCTCATTAATAATTAAGTTTAAATGAATCATCTGTCCAACAGTTTGCTATCAACAAAAAACAGTAGTTTTTGGGCTTGGGAAGAGCTCTGCTGGGGAATTGAATGCAGATATGCCGTCCTGAATAATTATCCCACTTTAATACAACACAAACAAACTCGTCTCTCATCTCTCCACTTGACCTTCAAAATCCACTTGAAATGATTGTGATTTAAGAGTGAACAACATCTTCAAAACAATATACAGTTTAGACAGGCAAGGCACCATCAAATTTGTAAACATGACTTTTTCAGTTAATTTCAATGAATGTTTTCACACATTTTTTATAACACCTGGTATAGAAAGTATAAATTAGGAGGTCCATATAGTCTTTCATGCACTCATACACCACAGGCTAGTGGAAACTATCATGAATAATCATGAAATAAAGGTCAGACATTCCTCAAGGCCCTTACAGATGGTGTTCGACAATAAATACTGTACTGGCAGAGTGCTCAAGTCCAAATGATGATGCTTTTATCCTGGTTTCATGAGAAGCACACATGGCCGATATCAATGCCAAACTCCTGATCTTTGCCACCTACGTCCACTGGAGCCAAGTCCACAATGGGCAGCCGTGAAAGTGTTTGTGTGCGGTACTCAAAGACGGTCTTGCCCCATTCATCGTTGGGTTTCTGGTGGGAAGAACAAAGAGGAACAATAGTGAGGTTGTTTTGCATTGGCAGCATTTTAATAATATTTCACAGTTTACTGTTTTTATTGTATTTTTGATCATATAAATGCAGGCTTGGTGAGCATACGGTACTTCTTTCAAAAACATTTAAAAGTCTCGATTGAGACTTACGTAATATTAAAATACATATTTAAAATGATACTCCCTCCCTTCACAAGTTTTAATGTACAGTGTAGATTCCTTTTTAAAGGGTACCTCGATAGTAGATTAACTACTACAGTCAACAATGTGCAAAGTAGCAACCCCAACACTAATTCCCATTTTATGTAAATAATAAATGTTGTCAAACAATATAAAGTCAAAGATCTGAACATACAGAGCAGCCGTCCTCTAAGACTGTGTACTTCAGACGGTTGCTGCTGTATGCCTTGATGTCCTGTCCATCAGAAGCCTTTAGGACTAAAGCCTTCTTCAGATTGCTGTTTTTCTCATCTTTATAGGCCACGCTGTTTTTGCAGTGATAGGTGACCGTCTGTGCTGCTTCCTTTGATAGCAGACGGAGAAATCTCAACTGGACGGATACAGCGTTAGCTGGTGTCTCTTTGTCTCCATAGGTGAACTGAAGAGGAGTAATAAAAGGTCAGGGTATACAGTAAATTTAACCACATACTGTATTTGTACAGGAATACAGGGCAACACTTTTTTTGATTTAAAGTGAAATGGTCATCATTGTAATCATATTAACCTTAGTCCCCCGGTTCATGATTGCTCCAAACCAGACTGGTTTTGGTATGCTGGAGCGTGAAGTCCACCAGTTCTTTCGTGGGATACTGGCAGGGTTGGCAGGAATACATGTCTCCCCCATTTCCATGTTACAGTACACTTGGATGGCATCTCTAGGGCTGCCCTCATTTGGGTCTATCCAGTATTCACCTGTAATACATTGGGAAAAAAAGTTATACACAAGAGTACAGCGCTCTCTCCCACCTTCAATACCACGACTGAGGTCCCCT